ACAGAACGATAAAGGAAACTAAGAATTAAGTACTGCATTTGCTTAAAAGCTAGTTGATATGAATTAAGACTAAGAACACGCTGGCTATTCTTTCAGATACAGCATAGCAATGTATAAGACGCCGGTTACAATATTAATTCAAATAATCATATCTTTTAGGTTACTTAAGGATAGAGGCTTCATGCCGCTTTAGTCTGGTTTGGCCAAATTCCGTTAGCATACTAATGACGAGATTGTGCAATGTACAGTCGCAGTCTTAATGTACCGTGCTCATTGTGCAGCTAATTTTTGAGGGACTATAATAAGACAATAGGCATTCCTTAAGCTGACATCAGTTTTTGATCTTTAGTGTGTGACTCAACGGTTTACTAAAGCCAAATATGGACTTGCCCATTGTGGGCATTTTGGTGAAAAATGTTTTCCCGTTTTACGCAGTCGAATGCTCAAAGGTTACAGCAAACGTAGCTACTACTATCTGTTACCGGTGCTGATAGCCTTTCAGTTATTGGTCAGGTTTCGTTTTCTAGCTAAGCCAGAATTCATGCGTTCGGATGAATTTAGTTTCGTTCTTGTACTCCAGATAGTTGCATTACTGTTTAGTGGTTGGAAGCCTTACACAAAGTCACGCGATTTCAAGCAACCCGAGGTGGTCGGGGTACACGAAGGTTTTTTGATAGTCGCTTAGAACTGATTCTTTCACTTGTCATTAGTGCGTCCGTGGCAATTTATGTTTTCCAGTTCTGCATGGATCCACTGCTTGTGAGCGATAGATATTGTAGCGCATTGCATAGCTGCCATGAAGTCTGAGGATAAACTGTGTTACATGCCAACGCTAGCAAAAATATGTTGACAGCCGCTATTAGTATCGTAAGTAATGACTTTCAGATTAAGAGAGTAAAATCAGATCTACCTGTTTCATAGCAGAAATCTGGATGGAGATTAGTACTTACGTAATGAAAAATCGATTTAGGGCCACCTGAACCTGAACCAGTATAGGCCTTACAGAACTGTCTTTTTCTGAAACAGGACATACGTCACTAAGACTAAAATGTGCATTTTTCACAATTTAGGGAATATTTGGGACGTCAGCTGGAAAAGGACACCCAGGACGAAAAACCGAAGGGCGGGAATTCATCGCTAGCTGCAAAGGCATAATGGTCTATATAAGAGATAATTGATCGATTGCGAGAGTGGCGTACCTTGAAAGAACAATCAAAGACAGTTTTCGCCGATGACTGTTGCCGGAAAATGCAAGAAACTATAAATGTTTAATGTTAAATTCGTATGTACGATCGACGGTACAATTCAAATTTTATTCAGACGAAATTTATAGCTCCGTTTGTAGATATCATTTCTTCTTGCTCGGCAGAATCACTCCGTCATACTAAAAAGGCGTGCGTTCAGATTGTGATAAAAATATGATTTAACTTATACTGACACTGATTACAAATTTAGTATTTTATCGAAGATGCATATAAAGCTGAAAAATTACTTTTGTCTGGAACCACTTCATGGCCTCTTCCTTAGAAATCCTGTGCGAAGCACCAATTCTGCTTTTGCATCTCCTTCTTTCGCTAATGTTGAAACCTGGGCGCCCAAGAACGACATAAAAGTCCATGCCGTAAATGCCGATAGCTGGGTCGTATTTAATGCCTAGGTCGATGTGTTCTTGAATACCGAATCCGAAGTTACCAGTGTCGCTGAAACAGTCCATTCGAAGTTCATACTCTTTTACCTTAAAAAGCATTTTTAACGAAAAGCTTCAACCACGCAGCGATGAGCAAACACGCCTTTAACCCCTTTTCTAGGATTTCTTCAGCTTTCGGTCCCCTGACGGTGCAGTGAACGGCAATTTTCTCGTTCCTGCGGATTCCGAACGATCGCACAGTGTAACGGGCTAAATAGAAACGTTTGTCGGTCGAAATGAAAATAGCAACAGAGCGTCAATAGACCATTAATAACTATGCATTTACCTACCATATTTTTAACTTTTACGGGAAAATTAAAATATCAAGATTACTGTCACTTCAGGGTAGCTTTTGAGATCTCGTGTAATTCTATACCGATAATGGTAGTCCGGTTAAATCCACGACGTAATCATCGACAGAACCGAAATAAATAGATTTGAGTGAAAATAGAGCAAACGGTCGTCATTAAAGTAGCGTCGGTAATCGGAGTCCGGTCGTCATAAAACAGTTGAATCTTCAGTATCCGAATTTTTGACCGAATGTCGGCATACGCAAGTAAATATCGAAGATAATGCTGAATCCAATAGATTTCAAGACGTCAAGTCAGGTAAATTAGAATTTCGTAAAGTCGTCATGCAGCAGTCATGTCGTGAAGTAGGAAATCTACTTCTGTACACGGTCGTAAGAAACTGTAGAACCTGTTAACTGTGAATGCAGTTGCGGTTTCGTCATCAGCGGCTGCAGTCACGACCGGATACGTAGCCAAGGGTCGCTTTCGTTGTAACGCTCGCTTCTCTCCGTGGCTGGCATCTGTTAGTCTGCGAAGTTATATTTTACTTGTAGTCGTTACTCACAAGTCCAATTCGTTTGACGAAATCCATTCATTTCATGCTGAGGAGCTATTACTAAATCCACCTCGTGCAGCAGTATTGTATTCTTCTAATGCACTCTTCTGTAAGGATCGGCGATTCAGAATCAGGTAGCAAATTTGTAGTCAGTATCGTCAGTAAACAGTCCGTCGTCCGATGATGAAAGCTGTTAGCTGTCAACATGCAACTGTTCACCATACATAACCACCTTTTTAAGTCGATGACGTAGGTATTCGGCTGCTTACAGTATCAGCGGCGACAAATCTTTAATGAATAAGTTAATCCTAGATAATCCTAATTTCGTGCCTGTATTCTGCTCCGGAATGCTCCAGTGAACAAAATTAAAAACAGTTTTAGCCATCAGTCATGAAAAATCCGTGTTATCACTCGAAAATGCAGTCATTTTACTTTGTCTGATGTCGATTCCACAAAACAAAATCGCTACCGATGGATCCGTATACCAGAATGTCACGGCATAGCGTTGCTATACGTCTGCTTACAGTGTCAGCGGCGATAATTCTTTAATGAATAAGTAAATCCTACATAATCCTAATTGCATCTCGCATTCTGTTCTGCAATGCTCCAATTAACAAAACGTAAAATAAGGTTTTAGCCATCACTAACGAAAAATACACGTGATAATTCGAAATTGCAGCCATTTTACTAACTTTGTCTAAAATCAATTCCACAAAACAATGGATCCGTCCATCAAAATATCACTGCATTTAATAACGTAAATCCGTCAAATAAACTGAGCAATTCCATTCGAAACAGCCACTGCTTAAAAACTGCTCTTCCTCCTATGAACTCCTATGAAGCGAAGTCTGCTGGTATATCTGCTTAATGGCACAGAGGAGGAGAGGCAAAAGCCTTGTGCAATCATTTCGCCCGGCTTACATCAACAAATTCCATTACACTTATTTCTCCGAGTGCCAGCGGAATACGCAGATTTTAGGCGTTAAGTGGAGAAAAATTAATTTCAGAAAATTATAAGTAGGCGAAAAAACTATGCAGCAAAAATGCACATAATCCGATGTCATCCTGAAATAAATAACCATACGCCCTGATCACAATATCGTAAGATGACATGCCGACTCGCTCGTTTTACTCACGTGAAATGCAAATCAGTTTAATAAGCGCTAAAACAATGCACATGACATCCTCTACTTAAATGTACATCAAAAGAAAACGCGCCCTGATGTGTAATAATTCGGAAATAAGACAGGACAAAATATAAAACAAACGTGCATAATTTAATATATTTTCTC